GAAGTTGAAAGAGAAATTGAAGAAAAGAAATGAAAAGAAACATTAAAAGAACTAAAGACAGAAACAGCCCAGACATATTAAGTATAAGTTACATTCTGATAAAGCAAGCAAAATAAAACACAAGAAATATTTAGAGACTTTGCAGACCTATGTCTAGAAGAAAAAAAGATACCAACAAAATGGAAGATAGTACAAGTTTACCCAATAACCAAAGATGTTGAGTAGGGATATAATTTAAACAACATATAACCAATAGCATTAATAAAACTATTTAGGAAAGTTGTAACAAAGATAGTAATAAAAGGCTTGCCAAAGTGTTTACAGAAAAAGAAATACTTAAAGAACTAAACTATGCAGGCCTTTTAGGCAACTCAGCAGAACAACTAGTACATATTTTCAATATGATAATGAAAGAAGCAAAAGAGAAGGATAAAGAAGTATAGAACTTCTGTAAGACATGAAAAAAACATTTGACTCAGTTTTACTTGAGAGTCTAGAACTAGCATTGTATAGAATTAAAGTGTCTAAAAGGACAATAAAATACATTCTAGATCTGTTTTACAAAAGACAACTAAAAATTATTACTACTTATGGTCTAACAGAAGAGAAAATAGCAAAAGACAGCATAGATTAAGTAGAAGTAATATTTTTACTAATATAGTAACTTTTCTATAATCCAATATTAGAAAAAATACAAAAAGATGAAAATTTAGAACATATAGTGGAACAACAGATTAAAAGAGAAATACAATGCAACAATATCATAAAGTACCACCAAGCAGCTATTGCATATGTAAATAATACAACATAAATTGCAAATAGTAAAAAACAGCTAATAGAAACATTAAAAATAACAGAAGAATTTTATAAGATAAACAATATAGAGATAAATGGATCTAAGTTAAAGCTGTTGATAATAAATATAAAAGTAAAGAAAGAACAAAGAGAAGTAATTTTTAGAGAAAATAAAATAAAAGAAAAAACAAAAAACAAGATAGTTTGCTTACTAGGAATATGGCTGAATATCAGAATGTGTAAAGTATTAGTAAAAAAGAAAGCTAAAGAGATAATCAGCTAAACAATAAGAGATCTTAAATACAAAAAAATGACAATGAGTCAGATTGTATATATAATCAATATAGTAATAATACCAAAATTAACTTATATATTACAGCTAACAAAAATATCAAAAAGAAGTATAAGTAAAATAAACTAACTAATAATAAGTTTAGTAAACAAAAGAGCAACCTAAAAAGAACATTAGAAAACTGCATAATGGAACACAAAAATCTTGGAAGCTGCAAAATATTACAACAAGAATTAATGGCAAAACAAATAAGTGGCCTATTAGCAAAACTAAACAGACAAGATAGTCTTGAATAATTAACAAAACTAAAAATAATACAAGGCTGCCAAAGAGCAGGTTTAACAGAAGGCAGAAAAGAAATCAGAAAAAATAGAAGGTTAAAAAAATAACTTAGCTTGTTTGACATTGCTAAAAGCAAGAAAGCTTAATATAAACAAAAAAAATGATATTAGAATAAATGAAGTAGGCTTAATATATCTAAGCTAGCTAATAGATATAAAAAAAGAGAGATTAATTACATAGCAATAACTAAAAAGATACCAAGGCTTATCTAATAAAGGAAAAAAAGCAGAATGGTTCAAAGCTATAAAACTAGAAGTGCTTATTAGACCAAAAAATAGAAAAGTTAAAAGACAATTTAAAACAATCAGCCAAAATACTCAAGCAATGCAAATGAGATGAGAGTATATCTCAAAAGATAAAAGAAAGAAAGAATGTATAGATATGATGCACAGAATAATTGCCAGTTAAAAAGATAGTCAAGAAGAAAAAAAAATATTAGTAGAACATTAGCAAATGCAGAGTAAAAAAAGTGAATTAGCTATGAAATTAACAGATATATAGGTTGTATTAGAGAAGAAGAACAATAAGAATATAGCTGCCAATAATAGATAAAAGTAAATAACAGAATTAATGTGATTCCAGATGTATTGATAAAAAAAGGTAGTAACAAAATCAAGATAATGATAGATCAAATAACAGAAATAATAAAGACAAACAAACAATAACAGATGAACAGAAACTTAAAGAACTAAGAATAATAGAAAAGCCAGAAATAAAGATAGTCAGATAACAAAAATTAAAAGACAGTATTAGCTAAGAAATAGTAAAAGTTTTAAGAAGAAATATAACAAAAAATAAGAACAAGTATATTATATACACAGATAAAGTAGCAAATCTAAAGACTAAAAAAGATACAAGAAGCAGAGATAATATAGACATAGGATGGATGCAAAAAGACGAAACACAAGAATAACTAGAAAAAGAGATAACATTTAGTTTAGAAGGATGACAAATATCAACAATAGCTAATTTAGTAGCAATATGAGCTGCAATTTTAATGATATCAAGAGAGAAGCAAATAGAAATATATACAGATAGCAATATAGCAATAAAAAATATTAGTAGATATTTAGAATAACTATATAGAAATAAGATTTTCAAAAAGAAAAATACAAAATAGATAATGAAAATTAGAGAACTTAGTAGAACAAAAATATTCAGATAGAGTTGATTAAAGTTAAGAGTCATAATAAATATAAATAGAATAATAGAGCTGATAGTTTAGTAAAAAAAGATGTAATAAGTAAAGAAATAATACAGGTTAAAAAAATCAGTTGCAAAGAGATAATATACTACTTAGAGTAGAAAAACAAACATACTGATATACCAGCAAAATAGCTATACAAATTGATAATAAATACAAGATTAGGAGTAGAATAAAAAGAAACTAAAACAATCAGAAGATTAAAACCAGAAACAGAAATTATAATTTATGATTAGATATATTTTTGAAATAGACTGAAGATATCTAAAGAAGTATACTGCATAGCAAGAAGAAGTAGTGTTACAAGAAGTGTATTTATAAAGTACATAATAGATAAACTTCTAACTTTAGAAGAACTTAATAAAAAAAGACTAGATATATATACAATAATAGAATGCCAAATGTGACAAAATAAAACAAAAGAAATACAGTCATATTTGGCAGTATGTAAAAGACAAAAGAACTTATAAAAAAGAATCCAAAAAGTTACTATTACAATAGCCTGAAAGGGATTAAAAGAAAAAGAAAAAGTCCAGATCCCTCATATATACTATATACAACACTTTTTAGGAAAACAGAAGCAGAGGAAATTAAAATAAAAAAGACATTAATAAAAGGTCTCATTTCAAAAAAAATTCAAGACAGATTGAGACAATTTCTAAGTACAAAATCAAGATAACAGTTTATGAATGTAATAGTAAGAATGGACTGAGATACATTTACAAACAAATATAGAGAATCCAATGTAAGAAGATCAATGAAGAAATAACAGGTAGAATAAAATAAAGAAAAGAAAAAGAGAAAAAAACATCAAGTAAAAAAGAAAAACCAAATCAGCAAGTAATAGAAGAAAGAAAAAAGAAAGCAAAAGAAAAAGAAAACCAAATTGGAAAAGAAGTACAAAAAACAATTGTAGGACTTGTCATAAAAAGATGAATACCCTTTCATTATAGACTTTAAATAATCAGACAAGCAGCTTACTTCTGCTTGAAGTAATGCAACAGGTTGCACTTAGGTACCATTAGAGTGACTAGGTAATGCTGGTCTTAGATGTTAAGGATATTTATGTAATTGCAAATGTAATTGCAAATGTAATTTCAAAATCTTAATAAAGCACTAACATGACTGCTTAAGGGAAAAAAAATAAAAATAAAAATAAATAAATAAATAAATAATAATAAATTAATTAATTAATAAATAATAAATATGATTAAATGAATATGTAAGAGTAAAAATCTGTGATCGAATATTGAGTTTTCACTATGGTAAGTTTAATCTCTAATAATATGCTTTGTTAACTCGTTTAAATTTTCCAATCCACACTTTCTTGATCTTTAGAACTATGCTAACTGTTTTTAAGAATTTCTTCAAAAATTCTAATACCTAAAACATTCACATGCATCTTTCTTAAATTCTCAAGAGTACTATTATTTAGTACTAAAGTATCAGAATTTAACAGTCTTTGTGAAGTTCAATATATTGCAATAGTGTGCTAGTGTTTCAAATCGAAAATCAATTAGTTAATCAAGTTGACAACTAATTGATTGATACTGTTGTTAGATAATTAATCGATTGTCAATAATTAATTGATTAGCTAATTAATCAATTAGTTAATTAATCGATTAGTTGACTAATCAGCTAGTTGTTTTATATAGAATCTTGTAATTAGCACTATAATATTATATCTAAGCTATTTCAATATATAGGAGCAAATAAATAGAAATTAAGCAAATTTTTTACAATAAAAATTTAAACAAGAATAACTTAACAAAACAACCAAATTTAATAAAAATATTTTTTAAATAATTTTTACAAACTTGTAAAATTAATTTAAAAAAAATTTATTTAATTTGATTAAGTTATTCTTGTTTAAAGTTTTTAAAAAACTTTATTAAAATATATTTGCTTGGTTTCTATTAATTCAACCCATATTAACTAATCAATTAGCCAATTGATCGATTAATTGACTAATTGATTGATTGATTAATTGACTAATTAATTGACTAATTGATTAATCGATTAGTTGGCTACAATTAATTTCTAACTGAATTTTTAAAAAATTTTTTGGCCAATTAATCGATTGCATTTTTTGGTTTGATTGTAAGACTATAGTGTACCTTGAAACAATAGCTCTATTTTTGATTTGAAAATTTGGAATGTTGACTTTTTGCACAAAATTTTCTAAAGGATTCACTTACAAATTTTTACTCTCACACATTCAAATTAATAAATAATTAAATTAACAAATATATAACTAAATTAATAATTTTAATTATTAATTTAGTTATATATTTAAAAATTAATAAATTAAATAAGCTAGTAAAATTAATATAAAACTTATCAATATTAATGGTCTGGTTTTAAAACCTCTTTACACTTATTCAAAAGACAAATAGCCATAATTATATGATTTTGATTGCGGTTTATATTATAGCCATCACTCTTAAGTTTTAGCTTAATTGTATCTCCTGAAACAAGAGTAGGTGGAGAAGACTGCTTCCAAATAGGAACAAGAACACTTAAAATAGATTTGATGAATCTATAAGCACCATTATTGATTTTTGACTGTTCAAGACTGGATTGATTATTTATAGCTTTATTAGTGCTAAAAGTTTCAATTTTAATTTTTTCATTTATCATATTTGTTATCTCGATTCTTCATTCTGCAACTTGATGCTCTCAAATAAGTTAAGGTTTAGCAGCTGCCAGTCAATAATAGTTATTATGGGACTTTAAAGATTCATCACATGCTCTGACAATAGCATCCAACTTAAGAAACTCAGCTTCTTTATTAAACGGTTAATAATTGATTTTAACACCTTTATTATTAATATCCAACTGAATATTACATATATGAACAACAGGCTGTTTATTGTTCATAACAAATTGATATCATGTGATTAGTGTTGAAAATTCTTTTTCAAAATCTTTTTCAAGAGCAACAAATCACTTATATTGCCCTGATGTTGATTGTATAGTTGAAAATGGTTGTCTCCTAGTATTTTTTCATTAAATGTTGTAGGCTGCTCATCCAGATTTCTATGACTATTAGACTTCAAATATTATTCAATTGCCTTGCTTTCATTTTTAGGAATGTCTATTCCATTCTGATAGCAACTTTTAACACTTAATTGTCCTTTGGAATTTCTGACCTTAGTAGATTTCAAGTACTATTCAAATGCTTTTTTTTGGTCTTTACGAATGCCTATTCCATTTTGATAGCAATTTCCAATATTTAATTGTATATCAGAATTTCTACCCCTGGCAGATTTCAAATACCATTCAAATGCTTTTTTTATAACTTTAGAAATACCTATTCTATTTTTATAACAATTTCCAATGTTTAACATTCTATTGGAATTTTTACTACCAGAAGATTTTAAGTACTACTCAAATTAGAGTTGGCACTCGAAATGAAACCTACCTGAAACTAGTTTCAGAAGGTTCTAATCTGAAACTAGTTTCGGATTTTTGAAAAAAAATCTGAAACTCTGAAACCCGAAACTCCGAAACTCTAATCCAAAACTCCGAAACTATAATATAAAATTTTTAAAAATTATAAGTTATAAAATAAATTTATTTTAATAAAATGTTTAACA